CTCTATCTAGAGGAATGCTTTTAGTAAGAGGCAGGTGTCAGCAGTGGCAGTGTGTGCAACTACTGTTCTTTAGGAGAACAGAGCTTCTTCTATTATTATATCCATTTGAAGGTAGAAGCTACAACTGATGAATAGAAATGAGATTTGCTGGTCAAAAATGAGCTTTAACAGTGGCTCCTAAACCCATTGGTATAAACAAAATGTTTCTGATATCATCTGGGTGAATACAATTAGAACCCAACGCAGGTCTAGGGCTCCTTATTTTTATTTGAGCTCCTGATAGATGTTCTGCAGCAGACGTTTGCACCCTGCCTTCTATCTCCAGTTCCTCATGAGGTGTATATTTCTGTCTTTGTACTTTTTCTTTAAATTATAATGCTGGGAGCTTTAAGATAATATGACCAAAGGGATAAGTGCAAAGATAACCTTAGGCTGATACACTTTTTTATTTCTGTGGTCCTTAGAGTAGTCCTTATGCAGTGTCTTCAAGTACTTGTAATTTAATTGAAGAAGTAAAGCTTTCAGGCCTGGCATCTCTCCAGGGGAGCATCCCAAACTGTGTGAGCTGAGTTCAGATAGTTTCTTTGTAACATGAGCCCTGTCATTTGAGGGAGGGACCTGATTAAAGTGTACAGAGTCCTGAAACTTGCAGACCAGGTGAATACAAATAGTTCTTCAGCAAAGTTTGCAGTGGTAGAACAAGAGTGACTTTCTGAAACTAGGAAGGGAATAAATTAAATTACTAAAAGTAGTTGTTTTAACAATGGACAGTTAAATACTAGTGCAGTCTGCCACAAGAGGTTGTGAGGGCATGTTCAGAAGGTGGTTAGATGGGTTTGTGGACAGCAAGTCCATAAATTGCTTCTGACGGGAGTAAGTAGCAATGTAGCCTTTAATTTTGTGTTATAAGAGTTTAAATTGAAGGATCATGAGGAGAGTGGGCTGCAGAAAACATCCAGGTTCTCTTGCTTTCCTTGAGTAGCATGTCCTTTTGCCGTCTCAGGAACTTTTGGAGCACTAGACTGGATGCACCATTGCTGCTTTTTCGTTGCAAAATCTCTATTTATCCGAATTGCTCACAATTCAGCCCACTCGTGCCTTGCAGTTTGCACTGTCTTCTCTAGGCTTGGAGCAGAGTGCCTTTTTTTTCATAAGTTACACTGGCTGAAATACTCTCGTCTGGGTACTCATCACAATCAGCTGAAGTATTAAGCTGAATGAAATCCTGTCCTACTTGTGTCACATTCTCTCTGCTCACCCTTTGAAAGATACAGGGCCACTACTGAAATAACTTACTGAAATTCTTATTGATAACTCCTGGCAAATCCCTGACATGGCAAAACAATAGCTAGAAGGAAGATGTTAGGTAAAGCCTCCCAGACTCCTAGTCTGCATCTATATGTTGTCTTTTTGTTAAATAGCTGCCAAGTTGCAAAAACCGTTGTTAGAAAGGGCTCTTTAAATGTGTCTCTTGGTGTTTTGGGGTTTTTTTTTACAGTTATTTTTCATGGAGGTAGCAGATCAATGTTGACATGTTCTGCAGAAGCTGGATGAGCACACATCTGTCAGGTAACTGTATAAAACTAGTATCTAGAAATTTCTGATCAATTAGGTCTGAGCCTACAGTCCTTTGGAAATCTGAAAAGAGATTTCTTAAAAATTTATTTTCCTCTGAGTATGTCAAAATAATATGAGAGTTCGAGTATGGAGAAAAATTGAAATGTATGCAATTTTTAAGTTCTTTCATGCTCCAAGACTTAAGTTACTCAATGTGCATTTGAAGCAGAAAGACAAATCTTTGTTAAAAAAAACCAAAACAAAATGCCACCAGCCAATACAAAAAATTATATTTCAAACTTAGGGGAGAGAATAGTGCAAAATTGAGCACCTCATCACAAGAAGTATTAAAAAGCTGAAAAATTGGATAAAAGCATTGAGAATGTTTGGAGGGCCTGGAAGAACAGGCTCTGAAAGAGGCTATTTACCACCTTGGTGGTAAATGAGACCTTTCTGAAGTCTGTTTTATAAGGCTAACAGTCAAAGGAGTATTCTGTGGCACTGAAAGGTGTCAAATTTGAAGCTAAAGAACAGAAAATACTCAGATAAGGATAAGAATTGGTGTGTGGATCAGCAATGGTAGTGGTACTTGATTGCCTACATCTGTCAGCATTAAATTTAATCTTCAGATATTGTACTATCAATTGCTGCTGTTTGAAACAGGGTCTTAAAAGCCAAAGAGGTTGCCTCCTTTAGTTCAGTTTTTTAAAATTTCTTGTGTGTTCCTCTGCAGCACCCAATGCTGGCCTTGCTCAGAGGCTGAAGTATTTTTATAAAGCTCTCAGTGACTACTGCTCCCGGTTTTAGAAACAGTGTGTTTCTTCAACCAGTGGAGGCTGTGCAAGCCTGTCTGTTTAATCTCTGGAGCTACTTAGTGTACTCATTAGGGGTCTGATGTGTCTCACTGCCAGGCCCTCAAATGGTTCAGAACATGTCAGGCTGCTCAATTTGGCTTTGTCACCAGAATAAATGATTTAAATTAAAGCACATTTTCAGCTATGCAGTCAACACTGGCACTGCAGTTGAAGTCTGGGGCTAGAGTTCTCTTTCCACACTCTTATAGTTCATCTGACATCACTTGTAGTAAGTACATCAGTACCATGTGTTAAGCTGGTTAGCTTGTTAGTTTGAAAGAGAACTAACTTGGTAAAAAACCCAGAAAATGGATGGGTTTTTACTATACCTGGCTGAATTTTTGTGGAAGAGCATTAGCACTGTGCTGATTGCTGATCTAGTGGTACCACAGGAAAGAAGGGAAGGAGAACTGGGGTACCTGTGTCAAGAAGCTGTTGTGTTGGCTTGACTCCTTATGATACCGTACCCTGAGTGTCCGAGTCAACGTTTCATTTTAAAACGTTGTCTAGTCACTTTATTTTTCTTGTTTGCTGTAGCCAGACCTCCAGTGCAGTGCTCAGCAAAACCTGCAGTTGGAATTATTTGGGATGATTCAATAATAATTTAATATTATTGTAAGAAGAAGACTTCTTTATGGCCTTGTCTGAAAATGAATCCTTTAACTTTTTACCAGGGCCTCTACTGACAAAAAATATGCAACGGTTTAAAAGTGAGAGAGGGTTGATCTGAATTTGGTATAAAGAATAAATTCTTGCCTCTGAAGGTGGTTAGGTCCTGGCACAGGTTGCCCAGAGAAGCTATGGCTGTCTCATCCCTGGAAGTTTTGCAGTTTTGGATGGGGCTTGGAGCAGCCAGGGACAGTGGAAGGTGTCCCTGCCCTTGGAAGAAGGTGCAATAAGATGATTTTTAACAGTCTTTTCCCACTGTGATTCTGTGATTTAGGAGGGAATATTTTCTATGACTTGCATAAAATTTTCAGTGTTCGTCTTGATCCCTGTTAATTAGAACCTCTGTCTCCTTGACCCCAGAAAACTACATTGCTTGCTTCAGTCATATTTTTGGTGCTCTGAGAAGCTGGTTTATGGAGATGTAATTTATTTGAAACGGAAATGTCATGCCTGCTGAATGTTCTGTTTTGTGGAAGTTGCAAAGTTATGACTTAAATTACTTGTAGAATATAATCTAGTGTTTGTTGGCTTGGCCCTCACTGAAACTGCAAAAATGTGACAAGGCATAAATTAGCCATGAATGCTGCAGCCTGAAGTACCTCAAATCATGCTGTTGTGCAGGTGGGAGACTTCAGTAAGATGAAGTTGGCATATTTTGGATAGATGTGGGGAGTGTGCCTGTACAGGTTGGAGAGGCACGTAAGCTGCCTCCAAAACTCAAATCAAGTAGCCTGAAGGTAGTGGTAGCTTTTAGCTAAAACAAGGTATTTTCAGCTGACTGAACTAACTTACACAGCTTGGGAATATGGGAACTTTCTGAAGTTCAAATACCCATTTGCTGCCTGGAAATAGGATCATTTTTGACTTCAAAGCTCTGCTTTCATCCATAGGACCGTTAATGTCCTTGAGCAATTTCTAACAGCTGTCTGTCTGTTGATTTCAGGTATTTTATTTTAATGCCTAAAACCAGCCTAATGGAAGCTGCAAAAGCAAGATGCTTTTTTCTAAGTGGCTATCATTTCTCTTTTAAATGATTCGAAGTGCATATTGCAATGAGTGCTAAACATAGCTCCAGTACCAGCATCCTTTTAATATTTCATTTTATATTAAATCCTGATCAGGTAGTTATACTGAATGAAAGGCTTTTAAAATTGAAAACAGACAGTTCTACTACCCTGATGCCTGCAAACTAAGATTTTAACTGTTCCTTTAGTGAATTTTGATTGAACTGTTCCTTTTAGTGAACTTCATTTTAAGGGCTGCCAGTTCAGAAGATTCATTATCTGTAGGCTATTGAATTTTAGAGAGGAATAGACTTATTACCAGACTTAGAGGGGACTTGAAATTGGTGTCCCCCCATGGAAAGAAAAAAATTGGTAGTTACTTAAAACATGACAAACAAAATGATAAAAGGTTTGTGAAATGGCTGGCTGTTGGAAGGTTTCTATCAAGCTGTAATGACTAAATCACCTTCCAAATGCAATTTTACTTGCTAAATTAATTTGGAGATGAGCAGAACATGCATATATGTGTATACAATTTGTCAATCACTTGTGGAAAATATTAATAAATTACTAAAACTTGCTAGCCTAGATACAAAGCTAGACTCAAGTTACCTTCTGTATTTGCTGAAGTTTGCTTTAGTCAGGGAAAACTTGAGAAAAAATTAATTTTCTATTCCAGCAGTAATCTGGTCTGTGTTAGCTGCTGAAGGGTCCACAGCAAACTTGATCTTCATTGACGAAGTACCTAACTGTGATACAGACTAGTTCTGTGCGATTTATCTTTTTTCTTTTCTTTTTTTTTTTGGGATGCAGTGTACTGTGGCATTTGGCAGCAGAAGGTTCTGAGGCAGACAGGTATTTGTTTCATGTGAAACCTCAGTGCTAACGTGTCTCTTGTTTTGGTTTGTGTTTTTAGGGACCAGGCGGAAATTTCCAATTCATTGCTTGCTGAGTGTCCTGTCTGCTGGAAGTCATGTCCATATTGCCATTCACTCCACCAGTTGTGAAGAGACTTCTAGGGTGGAAAAAATCGGCTGGTGGCACGGCAGGGGCTGGTGGTGGTGAGCAGAATGGTCAGGAGGAAAAGTGGTGTGAAAAAGCAGTGAAAAGCTTGGTCAAGAAGCTAAAGAAAACAGGACAGCTGGATGAGCTTGAGAAGGCAATTACCACTCAGAACTGCAATACAAAATGTGTGACAATACCAAGGTAAGTGCTGTTGTACTTGAAATTGTTACAGCCACTTAGGAAATTACTAAATGGATGCTCAGACCTTCTGTGAACAAATGATTAAAAAAAACAGTTGCATGCTTTTGATTCTTTAAAATTATTTATAACCTGTATTGGATTAATGCAGTGCTTGCTTATAACTGAATCACATGCTGTGTGGAGTCACAATTTCGTTAAATTTCAATTTTCATTGATATGTAGGGTCCTGTTTGTGTGTATTCTGATGATGTTTAACACTGCTCTTAGTTTGTAGCACTCCCTTATGCTTTTATTTAACAACCCTGTCTATGCTGGGGGGGGGCATGCTTGAGCCAACTTTCTCTTTAAAAAATACCAAAAGACTAGTTTTTCCTTGGTCAACACTTCAGTAATGTAATTATTTTCAGTTATATCTGCTAGTTTAAATTGTACAAGCTGCCTCCATTCTCCCTTTTGAAGGGAAATTTTATCTTTGGAGGCAGGTTGTCTGAAGACCAGTTTATTTACTGTAATTATTGTTATTGTTTAATGAAAACACTTTTTGTTTAATAACTTGGGGTATTTCTAGAATTTCTCTCCTGCTCCTGATATGTGTAAACATTTAGGTGAAGAACTTGCATTCTACCCCTTTGACTTTCCCAGCTTAATTCATAGCAACTGCTGTGCGAGAGCAAGGGTTGTGTTTGTAAGTATAATGCAGTCTGCTCTTGATTCACGGTGCACTGAAATCCCACTGGGGTGCCCGAGCAAGCTCACTGTGTGTGACAGAAGTATCAAATCACTTCACAGGTGTGTTTTTCCCTGGAAAAGTTAGAGGATCTCACTTTTCTGGGCACTTAAGTCACTTGAAGCTAAAACTATTTATAGGGGAGAGGAACTACATCTGGTTTATGAACTTCATTTCTGTATTAGCACACTCATCCTAGCTACTTTTAAACTCTGTATTAATCATAGCGCAAACTAGATTTGACTGTTGTCACTAATAATTCCATATATCAAATGTGTGGTGGCTGTTATCTGATAATGGTTTCAGCATTCTGTTTTCGATTTGACACACCTGTCTGGGAAAGTAATGCGTATGCCCTGAATTAATGACTATTTTCATTATTTTTCTTTCCCTTTTCTGTTCACCTTTTGTTTCTTCCCTAGAATATACCCCAAAATTTCTGGCTTTCCCTTCTGCTTTCTTCCTTTTGCCAGATGGAAACAAGTGATTAAAAAACATTAGCTCTTTCTTGTCTTAGTGTATTATCAGCAGACTAAGATTGGAAACTGTAAGGTTATATATTTCTTGACCCCATGCATTTAGCAAGTCTTTACTGAGACTAAGATGAAGTGCTGAATTGGAAGGTGTTTCATATGACAGAAGTTAAACACACTTGGTATAAAATGTGTATCTAGGTTCTAGAGCTCTCCTACAGGGATACTGGAGCAGTAGATAGTGTTACTTCAGAAAAATAGATGTCTACAACAAATTTTGTTAAAAGATACAAACAGTATTCTAATACATTATTATTTTTGAGTAGACGTGAGTATGCTTTCATGACCTTTTGTGCTAAAGTAGACATAATAAATAATTCTTTAAAATGGAATAAAAATATTCTGTGACCAGCAGTTCTTGCTGTTCTCTGTCCTTCACTCAGCTGTAGAAAGAACTGGACCTGGATTTTCCTCCTCTTGAGTACTGCTGGGAAGAGTTCTTCAGGGAATGTTGGCTATTACACAGGGTTTAATTTTAAATTAAAAAGTGGTTTTGGCATTAAGGGGCAGAGTGATATCAGGGTTGCCAGCAGTGCTATACAGAATTTCTGAATTTCATAGCTGGGTTTTGTATTGCTGATATTACTTCACTTTGACAGCAGTAGTGTGGGTTCCCAAGAAATAACAAATGTCAACTCAATAACAAACTCAGTACTGTAATGACTTCTTGGAGATTCTGTTCTTGGATTTAGTAAGTTAATGAAACCACTGCTTGAGACCCACTTTAATGAATGTCTTAAAGATCTGCAGATCAGCAGGGATAAATAATAAAATGCTGAATTTGAAACTTTTTTCCTTACTAGTCAGCAGGAAGTTTGTGGTGCCAAGCTGCTGAGATGCAGTTCCGATGTGACAGCTGGGCTAGCTTTCCAAATGTTGTTCTGCTTGGGGAGGGTTTTTGTGTGTGTTGGTTTTTTTAGGTAGCTTTAGTTTTACTTACTATTGCTTTTAATTCGGTGTAGATGTTGACAACTGCCGTGAGATGCTTCTGTTTGTCACTGTTGCATTATTCCCTCAAACAAAGTTTCAGTTGCAGTTCCACAAGTTTCTGGTCCCCTGGGAGATTTCCAGAGGGCTTGATACAGTGTTTAACTCTAGTATACTTTTTCATCATTGAAACCTGAAGCATCTAAACTCCCACAGAGCTTTCACGAAGCTGAGAAGCGGCTTGAGCAAAAGTTGTCATAAATCACCTACTCAGAAATCTGCATTTTTTTACCGTGTGTGTCATTGATAATCATGCTGAATCAGGTTTATTCTGCTCTTGTGCTGTTTGTCAAGGTGACTGCACACTAAGGGAGGCTGATCCTGTGTGTACTACACAAAAGCTGCTCATGTGGTAATTAACACAACTTCTTACGAGACTAATGGAGGTTCTGAGAAAGCAGAAGCAAACAGATGGAGTGGGTGTTGGCATTGCACAGCAGGACTGCTTAGCTCTTCATAAGTGGGTCAGTAATCTAGAGCAGAGGCTAAATAAGTACAGAAGTCCTTTTGACACTAGCCCTCTAAGTAATTTGTAGTTATCTTGCTGAATCCTCCCAGCAAGCCAGTGGGATTCTAATCACATAATCCCTGTGTATTCTGAAACTAAATGTTGGCACGTGAGTTCACTTTTATAAAATACATAATGAATTTGGTGGCATTTAAGAACTTGTCTTCATGCTCTCTCATGCAGTTTTGACATGGGGCAGAAGATGCAGTCAGTGGAGACAGTGTGAGCATCCATCTTCTAATGGAGCAGTTTCTTCCTTCCTAGCCTGGATTGTTCTTTTGAATCTCAGAATCCTAGAATAGTTTGGGTTGAGAGGAAGCTTAAAGATCATCCATCTCCAGCTCCCCTGCCATGACCATGTGCAGAGGCATCTTCCATGAGACCTGGTTCCTCAAAACACAGTCTGTAAATGTTTTGGAACTAGTGATAGCTGAAATCTAAGTATTTAACAAACCAAACCGTGCCATGTAGTGAATAATCAGTGGCATATTGATAGTTTTATCTTTGTTATTTAAAAAGTTCTTTCAGTGGTAACAACACAGAGAATTTGAATCCTAAGAATAGAAAAACAACTAGTTTCAGCATCCCAATATTTTGGTGTGATCTGCTGAGTTGTTTTTCTGTCTTTAAAAAGAGTGCAGATATGCCTCATGCTTTATTTTTCTTCTTTTAAATAAGACCAAAAAACAGTTGCTTTTGCCAAGTGCCATATAATGTATAACTAATAAAAAGAGTTTGGTTGGGTCAGGTTTGGGATAATATTGACCTGGACTGTTGTAGTTCCTATATTTTCAAAATTTGAAATAAATTTAAAAAAGCTAAGGGAAGAGAATTTGGACAAATTTTTGTTGACATTAATAGCAGTAGTCATATTACACTTATTATAGATAGTTGTTTTTGATACTGTATGTGAAACTGTGGTTAACACTTGAATCTCAGCTTTAATTGGAGGCCTTAGTTCCTGCAGAGGAGGTAAATTTTACTGCTGCTTTATATTAAATTGCATCACAAAAGCCGAGCAATGCTCAATGCTGATGGAAAGCACTCTGACAGTTTTTTGGCTGAAGTAAGGTTTAAAAACCAGCTTTCTGAAATAGCAGCTCAGAGGCTTTTTGCTGGGGTACTGGTACCATGCAGGTGCCTCAGAGTCCCAGGTAAAATGCAGCAGTTGCTTCCAGAGCAGAGCGAGGGCTAATGCTCCTGTCAAGCTCTTGCTTTTCAGCCTGCCTTGCCATTAGAGTTTTAGTATTATCTGGTCTTGTCTATCCTCTCTGTTGGTCTTCTTTAACATGAGGAGAGCTTCTCTGTGCCGTGGTTTTTAGAAACTTATTTTTGCTTGTTTTTCTGCAGCTTCCCAGTTTTGACTTGGAGAGTGAGAGTAAGAATGTAGATATCTATGGAATTTACAGTCCACAGTTAGATTTCTAGAGCACCTGGCTTCTGCTTCCAATATGAGTTGAATTTGTGATTTTTGTAACATTCAGAATCAAAATAAAACCCCTACAATGGGTTCCATGGTTTTGGGAATGTGGAAGATTGTGAGGGAGTGTTGGGAATGTGAAGCAGACAGCTACAAATGAAGTGATTGGTTGGAATTACTGATCAACTTCATTAACATTGTGTTTCTTTGAAGTAGTAGTATTTCAAATATTTTAAAGCTGTACTTGTATGGCTTTCACTTCATCCAATAATGAAGACTGATAATTTTTTTAACTGCTGTCATGGAATTGGTCACATCCTGATTCTTTTGAGGAAATAAGGTGTTGTTATTTAAGCGTGGCATTCAAAATACCTTTCTGATATTCTTTCCTAAAGAATGTAAAACCACAGTAGCATACATTGATTGCATCTGAAGGCTGTAGTGTTTTTGGGTTTGGTTGTTGTTTAGTTAGCGTTTTTTTGTGAAGTAAATATCCATGTGACTCCTGAGCCTGAAAGACTGCTCTTGATGCTGAAGTGAATAATGCTATTGACACAACTTCTTCCCTTAGGCTTGCTTAAAGTATCCAGGAAATAAATCCAGTATATCTTAATTTTGCTATATTTCTGATGTATTCTGCAATGCCTCAGTACTTAAAACTGCAGACTCTGATGAAAATTTATCAAACACAAGAAAACAAGGCCATTTGACACAATCAAAATCCTTTAAAGAAACTGTGTTTCTCTATTATATTAATGTTATTCCTTTGGTTGCTTGCCACGCAGCGCTTTCCTCATTCCCTGCAGTGACTTAGCACTGTGAGAA